GTATACTTTGTGAGAACAGGCAAGGTAGCACAGAAACTCTGCAGAGTCTAGAGAAGTTCATCTAGATTCTGTTCAGTGTTGATAGTCCATCATTGTAGACAGCTCTGATGTTTTCATCTACACATTAGGAAATGAGCTATTGAGAGCATGACATGAAATTTTGGTTGCACAGTGCTTTTGATGACAATTGGGTTTCATAAGACATGCATTTATCATCTGATTTTTCTAATACCTTGTACATTTTTTTCCATACCAAAACATCGAATTAAGGCAAAGCCTGGACACCTGATTATCAAGAGCATGTGTCTGGCAACAATTTGCTGCTGTATTTGCATATTTTTATCCTCAGTTTGCATTTGGAAGGCTGTCTAGACTGGAAATGGCATTTTTCCACAAATGAAGGCTTAGGCACTGCTGAGTTCACAAACACATCCATTTGATGACAAAGAAATTTCACTTCAGCATCTTTGAAATACAGCCAGTGTGTCCCTCTGAAAGGGCAAAGACTCATGATGCTTGGAAAGAACAAAATCCATAAAGTACTCCCTGGGCAACAGTAGGCTACAATGTATGTGCAGTCAGCTGTCTGCTGTCTAGAAGATTTGAAGGCAATGGGAAGAGAGGCGCTGTCAGGAGTGAAGGGTCAGGTATCGCTGCTCCCTGGTAGCTGCTCCGTGGGGATTCAGCCGGGCCCAGCAGGGCTGGGTTGTTCAGGCTGGGCTTGGTGCTGTGGCGAGGCAGCTGCAGGTCTTTCCTCAGGGAGTTGCAGAGTGCCTCTGTCGTCGGGGCTGGGGGAAATCAGGGCGCTGAGACAAGAGAGGCAGCTGAGGGGTTCTCTCCTGGGCTAGCAAGTCCTGCTGGTGGGCGCTGTCTGGCAGGCAGTGGGAGCTCTGCGGCCTCAGGAAGCTGCCGCTGCCTGTGGTAGCTGTGGCACTTGGCAGCTGGTGCTGTGTGGGCAGCTGTCAGCTTTAGCCTGGAGCTGGGCCCAGCTGGGGGGGCTGGGAGAAAGCAAGCAGCCCAAGGAGCCAGGCAGCAGGGAAGTGTCTGTCCCAGTGCCACTTTGTCCCACACGGAAGCCTGGCTGGGAGATGGGGCTGCAGGCCGCTCCATGGCGGGGTGCCTTGCCCGGGGCTGCAGCGCTCATGGCTGACCCTCTCCTCACAGTGACCTCGCAGACGGCCTCTGGGGCCAAGCGTCGAGAGGAGCCGCTGCGTGGGAACTGGCAGAAGGACACAGCCACTTGTGACCCACAGCAGGCCTTGCTCAAGGCACTGTCCTTGCTGGGCAGCGATGACTGGTAAGAAAGGCCCCGTTCACTCTGTCTCCCTCTTAGCGTTAAGGTAGCTCAGAAGTGGATCTTGCTAGTGCCTCTGAGCCCCGACAGCCCAGAGGGCCAAGGGGCACCAGTGAAACCACTGCAGGGCCGTGAGAGGATAAAGATTTGACAGCAGCCTTTTCTTGGCCTTGGTCTGCAGCAGTGCTCCAGCTGCAGCAGGTCCCTGCCGTTTGCTCGCTTTGCCTGCTGCTCCATGGAGCTGCAGAGGAAATCTTGAGGGAAGAGAGAAAGCTGTGGGACAAGATGATTTGCTGGCTGAAGGCAGAAGCAGGATGGCAGCACTTTTGAGTGTAGAGATTTGGGTGCCTTGGAGCACTGGCCCAGTGGGACTGAGTAAGATTTCTTCTCTCTGGTCCCACTGCTGACAGCAATGGCAGGTGACAGGGTCTCCCTGGGACCTCCTGCTGTGAATGCCAGAAGCAGCTCCAGGGAGTTCCTCTTCCTGAGAAATGGCCTGACTTGTGCTTTCAAGTCCCTCAGCCTGTCATTACCTCTGAAGGTCTCATGGCAGAAGAGAAGGAAAAAGAAATATAATCCTCTAGGAATCTTGCACTTTTGGAATTTAACTTTTTCCTTCAAATTTTACTTCTCACTGCTTCATATGGGCCTGAGATACTTGGTTATAACTCACATCGTGTCCCAAAATTTGACACAGACAGAAGGAGGCCCAGAGGTGGTAACCTGACGGATGTTGGGAGGTATTGGTTGTCTTTTTGATGTCTGGGTTAGCATCCACTCACTGGTGGATGCTTCATTCACACGGAGATAAGGACTCCACTCACACTGGGATAAACATGAAAAATCTGCCACAATGCATCTCCTTGTGCAGTCACCTTTGCTTTGCCCTTTCTCTTCTGCTTTCTCTTCCCCATTTCTCCTTGGTGCCCTGTGAGGTGCAGAGAGCCTCTGGAGGTGTGGGGGAGTCTGGGTGACATCAGGGGTTCCTGTGGGATCGATCACCAGCCCTGTGCTGCAGCCCTGATGCCTCACAAACCTGCCTGTAGCTGAGGGCCTGCACAAAGCAGGTGCTGGGAGATGGAGTTGTTTGCACCCTTAAATAACATGTTGCTGTTGTGGGGGTTGTTTTAGGTAGTGGGTTTTGCCAGAGTTTCAACTGTTCTTGCCCAGGTGTGGAATCTTCTGGGACATCCTGCTGCTTTTTTGGGCAAGGAGGAAAAGAAGTGGAGTGGGTGAGAGACAGGCCTGGATTGCAGAGTGGAAAGTCAGCTCCAGAGTGCCAGTGCAGTCTCTTACTGCTGAACTGCCTGCTGGGGCTGGTAAAGAAGGAAAAAGCCCCAGTAACAGCCCCATGGGACTGTGTCTCAGGGGCAGGAACAGGGAGGTGACAGGAAACAGCAGCTTGGTCCGGTCTCACAGCTTCTAAGAAGCAGTGAAACACGGATTTCATGGGCCAGAGGTTTCAGAAAGGCTGTCTTGTAAAATGGCCACAAATGAAGACTCTGAAACCCCTCTCTTTGCCTTTTGGATTTGTGTGTGCTTTTGACAGCCACAGAATCCTGTGGCCACGAGTTCCTGAAGTGCTCCTTGAAAAGCACCTCCCACTGAGGTCCCACTGAGCTGCCAGCCTGGTCATTTCAGAGGGTGCTGCCTAGTTCTTGGGTGGAGAGAAAAACCAATCTTTTTGGGACTTGCCTTTCAGGGAGCTGAAGGAGAAGGCGCTCTCCAGCATCGGACAGCTGGCTGGGTCCCATTCAGAAGTCGTGCTTTGTAGACTTCGTGAAGTTTGCCTGGCAGTTACCAGCGAGGTGAGAACATTCTTCTGAATTTTCCCCCATACCTCATACATGGTGTGTAGAGTAGATATGTGCATGTTCATGTCCATGTGTGCTCAGGGATTGCCTTCATTTCTGTTTCTAGACCTTGTATTTCTAATGTCTCCCAGCTAGGATCAGTGTGTGCATGTAGCTGTATTTCCTGGTAGGTTGGCTGTCTGACACTCATCTTTGAGTGAGGTGTCATTGTAACGCAAGGTGCAAATGCACAAACTGAGACATTAATTATGTTATTTTCCAGTGTCCTAATCTCTGCCTGAGCTGTAATTCAACACTGCCAATTAGTCTGTAGATTTGAGCCTGTGCTTTCCATTTCTTGGCTAAGTCCTTCAACTAATAGTGTTGCTTTTTTGAACAGGAGCACATGATTCTTTTGTCTTTATGACTTGTGCCTTATTGTTTGCTAGCAGCGCTTGTTTAATTTGTTTATTTCCGAATAAACGGGCCTAAAATCAAAGGGGTGGACATGATAGAAGAGTTAATTGAAATGATTTGTTTTTAGGCCTGCTGTCAGCAGGTCTGAGGCCAGAAACTGGTGCCAGACTAAATGCCTTTGTGTGCCTATGCTCTCCTGCTCTTATTGTGCTTTCATCTTCCCCTGGACACAGTGGGACGTGTTGTCAGTTCCTGGGACTGTTGTCTAAGGCCACTGGTTTTCTTTTCAAGGTGATTCTTATGTTTCTCTCATCACTTCCCCAGGTGACCAACCTCCGCTCCAAGGTGTCCTACGCTGCAATCGTCACTCTTGGAGAGCTCTTTGCAGCCTTGAAGAAGGACATGGACTCCAAAGTGGATGAGGTTGCTCAGGTCCTGCTCCCGATGGTTTGGAATTCCCCAGAGTTTCTGGAGAAAGCAGCCAATCAGACCCTGGGGATCATGGTGGAGAACGTGACTCCTGCACGAGCACTGGCTGCTCTCATGGACAGGGGAGCCAAGTAGGTTCTTCTTCTTCTAGTGATCTTCTTCACCTTCTAGTGTGTGCGTGGGGGAAGGGATGAGAGACAGAATGGGAATGGTGGGAGGGAAGGCTCCTGCATCCTGCATCTTCTGTGAAGTCAGGGACTTCATTCCCCCATCAACCTCGCTTCTTTCCTCTTGTCACCTGTTTCTGCCTTCCTGCAGCCTATAAGTTCACAGAATCACAGAGCTGTAGAATATGGGGAGTTGGAAGGGGCCCATCAGGAGCATCGAGGTCAGCTCCTGGCCCTACACATTACACCCCAGCAATCACACCATGCACCTGAGAGTCTTGTTCAAATCTTTCTTGAGCTCTGCCA